TTCCACGGCCTGTACGCGGCTTTCATAAGGTGGGCACGGAAAGTGCCGTAAAGTCTACATTAAGAAAGAGACAATTCAGCCCGGGCCCCAGTCAATTAACAAGCACAATGACCTCCCGCCCCAGATTTCGAACTGTGACTTTTTCTAGGAAAGTAAATTGCCACCAACAGCTTTAGTGATAACGAGCCGCATTGCTGGGTTGCCAATACGTCAAGAGTCAATAGCGATGACGGAAGTACGATGATTACCTTCTCGGATACAGGTTGAAGCAATCGTTACATCAAATAAGACCTCCGGTGATTAAGGCGAGACTTGTGTTGGTGGCGTAGAAGCTGGGGCCTAAAAATGCTGCATTACTTATACTTTTATCTGCAACCGTCTCTGATGATGGCCTCGATTAAGAACCCCAAAACGTCAGGGCGATAAAAGTCTTTTTTCAGTCATCGCATCTCATTCTGATTCCCTTTCAGTTGCAAACCTCCCCTTATTACGACTGAGGACACCTGTGTATTTAAGGACATCCAATCTATCAAGACAACCTTAAGGGTAGATAGTTGTTACAAGGTGCATTATTTTCATGGCTAGTCATTTCACCAGGAGCGGTATGGGGATTTCAGTTCATTTATCGCACGCCTGATCACGAAGCTAGGATAATGTACTCTCCAGAGTCCGTAGAGTCAAGGAATATCCACACTCTCTCAAGTTAACCTAATAGACCCCCTGCGTGTCACGGACCTGGGATCGTTAAATCGTTCGTAGATGTGCCTGGCTATGAATTTTCTGAAACGGTCTCTGTCAACAAGCCTTTTTCTTGCATATTGCATCTATAGGGTGGATCAGAAAGCCAGAGGGAACATTATTGCTAGCTTGCTTTAATCGAATAAATCGACAATCTGCATTACGAGTCCTCAACCGTCCACTTGGGCGCGGCTGATGTAAATAAAACTATCGGAAATCTTGCATTTTACCGTGGGACGCAGGGTAGTGTCCGTGCAGACTTTCGCGCAGCAAGCCTTAATCATTAATTGGGAGAAGTCAACCGATGGACACAAAGATACTGTCATCATTTGGAACCGTCCCAAACTGTTTTCAAGAGTCGTGCTGACTACTGAGGGAACAAAGATGCTTGCCTTCATATTTATAGAACCGGTATGTGATTCCCCACAAGGCATATGACCTGGCTTCAAGTCTCGCGGTTACCGGACCTTGCGTTCACGTTTTACATTGAGGACGGTGATAAAACCGTCGGTCATGTATTGTCACTGTGTCTTCATCAAACCAGCGCATGCTCTTGTTTGAACTATAGGACAGAGCGGAGGGATTACTCACTTATCTTATAACGATAAATTGGCAAAAGCAGTACCCACTGCAAATGCAACATTTCGACCGTAGGTGTCGACAAGATCTACGCCGCGCCCCACAACATGGTGATGCAGGGCTGTTCACCTGCGCGTGATTTAGTTCCTAGTTTTAGAAGAATTTCGCTATATTTACCGCAATTTCTCCTGCCTGGGCTCAGTATTATGACTATATCAAGAAGACTGAAGGTGCGGGGGGTGCAGGTGGCTAGCGCGACGGGAACCCGCACCTAGGTGTGCCGCTACACCCCACCCAATGTACGGTATTTCGTATGGGCGTGCATCCCAAATAAGGCCTGCCAGAGACTGATCTAGTCCCTCTGTTGGTTCAGCGCCTCTACCGCGTGATCCATTTAGGGAGCACGACATAATCACACGCACACTGCGATGTATGCTGCCCGTACTTGGTCCTTGACATCAGGTGAAACGAGCAAAACACATGACAGTTCAAGGTCACAGGCCCGTGTACCTCAGCGCTGATTGTTGCATTTCATACTTGACACTGGGGGTGCATCAAGACGAATATGGCTTCCACTTTATCTACGCCGTTTCTCTTTCTTTGAAACACCCTCTAAAATCCTTGTATAATTATTGATTGCAGAGGAATTTTTTTGACAATTACACTAAGTTGCTTCGGGCTTTGGCATTTACGATTATGTTACATGCTTCCTTTAAAGTAAAGCTCCTCGAAGAATTTGGACAGCGCTGCTTCGTAATAAGCATGCTGCAATTAGTATGGGTCATGACATAGTCTCCCAGGGCCGCTATCGACTTTGTCAGGTGCAGTCAAAATGTAGATGAATTCAGAACAAAGCTGACACTTATAATTAAACCCTGTCAGCGAAAATATACAGGCGGAAAATCACGATCATATGGTGCTTATCCATCAATTAGTTGTTCGTGTGCGCATGAGAAGACACGTGGAACTCTCTTTTCAGGGATAAATAACTTACTGTGGACTAAGGCCGATGATATCGCCCGTCAGCAGAGGCGTCTACTATAAGAGCTTTGTCAAGTGAAGCAGCCAACCCATGGACAGATATCCTCCATCAAACGTGAATTCGACTTTTTTTTAATTGACACCGCCAGTTTTTCGCTTAGGCAGCAGCCACTAGTTCCTTCAAAACAACAACAAGCTTACTATTGTTGTTGTCCATGGCATGTACGATGGTCAGGTTGCAGAATTTTACGACAGTTTCTTTTATTTTGGAAGAAAGTGGGTCACATCTAACAAGAATGTCACTCTAAAGAGCAGAGAAAAATTAAAATTCATGTCACTTCTCTAATCCACCCGACGAAGAAGCGATGACAGTCCGAAATTCTCCAGCAGACAAGCTGCTCCAGTTGTCTCACGTAATAGCACTTCAAATTGATCCTCATTTGTGTGTGTATCTGTGACATCCACCAGCATACAATCAACTCAGCAGCTAGATTAAACCCTTCTCTTCTCCCACGCATCGAGGGTCTGCACGTGTTCCTCTCACTTTGTTAGCGATGTACAACCTTAGACCTGAAGCAGCTTTAAAACCAGTCGTCCTAGCGTAAGCCTCATGCAACGTTGCCAGGCCATACC